TGCTCTTTATGTCATTCTACTTTGCTATTTATTTCCTAGATCCTAAAGTCTAATTATGGTGTGACCATGTTGAGTTTTGTTGTTGTTGTTTGGTATTAATTCCAGCTGGGCTTCCTGAGTGTCTTCAATCTATAGGTCAGTGTCTCATAAGTTTTGGAAAACATTTACATCTTCAAATATTTCTTCACTTTTATCCCCTAGTCTCTCTCCTGGTTGCCAACTACAGATATACTGCTTAATCTTAGATGTTCCTTACTATTGCTCATTTTTTATTCACTCTGGAATTAAAGTTTCCTATATTTGGGTATAGACTCCTCCCAAATTTCTTCTGTATCCAGTCTGTCATTACCTGATCCAACTTTTTATTAACTTCAGATTTTACACATTTTAAATTTTTTTTTCTCCAGTACTGAGCTGCATATTAGCTCTGCCCTGAGCTACATCCCTGGCTCTAATTTTAGGATGTCCATTGGAATCTAATTCTCTGTTTGAAATTCTCTATTTTTTCATATGTTTTGATTTTAAAAAACATTAATAGGCTTTATTTTTGGCAGATTATACATACACATAACATACTCGAATCATTCTCCACATCACCCCTCTCCCCTAGTTTAACAATTTTGGTTGGTTTCAATGTGTGTAATGTGTTTTTGTCATATACCTATTATGTTTATTTACTTGACATATTTACAGTAGTATTCTTAAAGTTCTAGTCTACTGACCTGTATCTGTAGGTATCTTTAATGATTTACTTTTACTCCTGAATCTCCATTTTATTTTCCTTTTTCTTTATATATATTTACATATACATATGCATTTTGTGTGCTATACATTGAGTATAAAAAGACATAGTGTCTAAAATTAAATTTTTTCCCAGAGAAAAAGAATCTATATATTCTGTTAATTATATTTGATGAGGCAAATCATCTCCAACCAATTAATAATTACACTCATTCAGGGCTTACAGTTTTATTTAAGTACAGTCTGTGTATAAAGGACAGTACCCTTTTGGTTCAAGCCCTGCTTGTACACAATGAAGTCTCCCAAGTGTCCTTGGCTTTTTTCTCTTTGACTCTTAGTCCCGAGGTGGTGCATCTAGACTTTAAGTTCAGCCTTTTGCTTTCAGTTCCCAGCTGTATCCTCAACTGCTTCCAGCAAGAAATAGCACATTCAAACAGGATGCTCAAGAGGAGTTTAACAAAAGGAGTAACAAAAGGAATAAGTGCAAAAGTGTGAGTAGGATTAAGGGAAACTAAAACGGATGGAGACATTCTCTTAGGAGAGCACCACGTAGAAACTGTTCACATTCCTGGGCCTGAGTGGGAGTAGTTACCACACCTATGGCATCACTGTACCAGAGTGACAGGAGCTGTGGGGATGTTGCTAAGCTACATGACCTTGTAGAGAAAGAACTGGGAAAATAACTCTCATCCTTCCTTTCTTTGCTCTTCTGCCAGAACCCTCTCCATTTAAAAAAACCCAGTTAGAAGTTTGAAGACCAGAGAAATTATTGATGTAGTCCATAAAGGTCACCCTTTGGGACACAAAAGGATAAGATTTGATCTGGAGTGATCAAATAGAAGCACTGATATCAATTTTCTACTGGTGAATAATCATCTCAACAGATGGGATATTATAGGCCATGGTCTAGAGCGGAAAGGAAGCATATAAACCAGGTGCTAAATTAAAGCTCAGAGAAGAATGACAAGGAGGTAGAAAATAGAAGTGAATGATAGTGGAGAGTCTATCTATCTATCTGTCTACCATCCATCCATCCATCCATCCATTTCCAAAATGAGTATTTTTATGTAGGGAAGGAATAGTTGCCTGAAAAAGGCACTGAGTAGGTAAAAGGATATGAACCTATAAAACGAAGAGCAGAAAAATGCCATCTATTTTAGATGCTACCGAAGTAAGGTCTTTGTGGGGAGAACCAGGCACCAGTTATGGTCAGGTGTCAGTCAAGACCAGAGAGTAAAGGAAACTTTCAGCACTCACATTTGTTAACTGAAGCACTGAACAAAGTACAGGGGAAACATCAAGGTGCTCAGTTGAAGGATGCATTACTCCTCCAAAGTGGTGTTGGAAAGTATGATCAGTATTTTTGACTTCTGCAATGACTGAAGAATGTGTAGCATGTGAAATTGAGAAACCAGAAATGGTAACTTACTATAGGATTTATGACAATACCCAAAATGCTAAAACTTCTACTGATGATGGAAGGGGCTTACCTTTTATATCACAGAAATACCAGATGTGGTGTTCTTGAGTATCAACAGGAATGCTGATCTCACATTCTGGCAGTCACAGTGCCTTGGGCTTATGGTATCTGTCATGGTTTATGTTGGTGGCCCCCAGGCCTCATGCGTTTGCATTGTGCATTTGTGATTGTTTCATTGTCTAGTGCTTAGATTGATGGTGTCCATGCTACACCCACCTAGGGGTGGAGCCAGCATACAATGTAATGACTGAAAGAAGGCATCTCTCTCTCTTACTGGTTTCCACTTTGCTGTTTGTAGCCACCATGAACTGCAGTTCTGCCATGCCACCTTGTCTTAAAGCCAACTGAGTATGGACTAAAACCTCCAAAAACTGTAAACAATAAACTTTTTCTTTCCCAACTTTGGGCATCAGACATTTTTTTCTAAGTTACAAAAAAAGTAACTGAGACAAAATTTGGTACCAGGAATGGGGTCATTGCTATAACTATAACTGACCATGTTTTTTGAAAGGCTTTAAAAATGGCTTGTGGGGAGAGTTTAAAAAGGTTCGGACATGTTGCCTAGATGCAGAGAGCTAGAGCAGCTTAGGCTGTTCTATAGAGGAGATTCTGGTCAGAGCTCAGGAGACCAAAGGGCTGATAAAAAGCCTGATGATGAAGACCAGGCTTGGGAGGTTCTGTTGGGAAAAAGGACTGCATCGGTTGTTGGACTTCCCATGATATGTGTTATGGCTTGGTAAAAAGTTTGTCCACATTTTGCACATGCCCAGAGACTTTGCCTAAGATTGAACTTAAGGGCAATGGACTGATTAATCTGGCAAAAAATATTTCAAGGCAGTCAAATGTTGAGGCTGTGGCATGACTATTGTTGGGGGCTTTTAGCCAGATATATGTTGCAAATCTATAGCAAAAAGCTCAACAGGATAATTTACAATGCTGTGAATTTGGCCAAACAAGAAAAAAAAAACTTCAGTAAAGCTGTAAATTATACAGATAGAGCTGAGACTTTTATTGCTAAAAACAAACAAACAAACAAAACAGATGGCCAGGAGACATCACCCAAAAAAGTGGGTCTCCATCCTTTGGAACCTCAAAACTGCAAAAGTAAAATAATTTGCTCAAAAAAAAAAAAAAAAAAAAGCTTCAGAGTATCATGCCCAAAATGGCAACAGAGGCCGCCTGAGGTTCCAAAATGGTGACAACATAAAAAAGCTTTTCCTCACAATCAGATAAACAGATCCTAGTAATCCAGGCACTAGACCCCTACAGCAAACAAAAACAAAACAAAACACCCCAAAACAGCCTGGCTACTGCTCCAGCTGACAACAAACCTTGGTAACATCCACATGGTGTTGATTTTAGATATAAAAAACTACACAAATTCTGAGGATAAAACAGCTTCCACCTCCATTACAAAGGGCCTGGGAGGCCAAGCAGTGTGTCCCTAAGATGACAATTTATAAAAATATAAGGATAAAGCCAAACGTATAGTAAAAACTCCAAAAGTTTAAAAAAGCCAAAAGTGTAGACCATCCAAAAAAACCTACAAAAAATGAGCAGAGAGGTTTAAAAAAAAACAAAAAAAAGCAAGAGCTAAAATCCCTAAAAGTGCCGTGGGGGTAAAATCACCCAAGCCTTTTAGAGCTTACAACCAAATCGCTTCAAATGCTGAACATAAAACTCTAAAGCTTAATGTTCACCCTGCTAGACATTAGACTTGCTTTGTTTCCAATGCTTTATATTCCCATTTATAACTTTTAAAATGGTAATGTTTATCTTGTGCCTTTACATTTCAAAAATGTTTAACCTTGTTTCATTTATACAGGGGTTACAGTTAAGAGTTTGTCATTGATATCAAGAGAGACTTAAGACTTCTCAGCAATGCTAAAACTGTTAAGACTTTGACAACTCTTAGAGATGGACTAAATGTCTTTTATATAAAAGATGTACATGAGTCTTTGGGGGCCAGAAGTAAAATGTCATGGTTTATGTCGGTGGCCCCCAGGTCTCATGTGTTTGCATTGTGCCTTTGTGATTGGTTCCTTATCTAGTACTTCCATTGTCAGTGCTATACCCCGCTATGGGGTGGAGGCAGCATACAATGTAACGGCTGGAAGAAGGTGTCTCTCTCTCTCTCTCTCTCTCTCTCTCTCTCTCTCTCTCTTGCCGTTTTCTGCCTTGCTGTTTGCAGCCGCCACAAACCGCAGCTCTGCCATGACACCCTGCCTTAGAGCCAACTAAATATAGACTAAAACCTTCAAAAACTATAAAAAATAAACCTTTTCTTTCCCAACTTTGGGCATCAGACATTTTTTCTTAGTGACAAAAAGTAACTAAGACAGTACCCATAAGAAGAAGAGGTAACTGCTTTGGATAAGAACTGGGTAGTTTAGATGTGATATAGTAGGTGAGGGGGAGATCTTCATAATAATGAAATATTTTTTTACAACTGATTTAACACCTTTGTTTTTGTTCTTTTTTTTGTTCTTCATTATAAATAGACTTAAATTGAAAAAGTTTTGAAGTATAGATTGGTTGTCCTATCATTTAGAACTCTAAGAGGCAAAGCTGCACAGTCAATTCTATGAAAACCTCTGTTTTCTGTAGAAACATTTCAGAATGAACTGTTTCATACTGGAATTAAAGGTTAATCAGTGAGTTTTTAAGTGGAAAGGACTCTCAGAGACTACCTTGAGTCCCTGGCAGGCTTCTGAATATTTCACTATAGAAATATAAAATGTACTCTATTTTTGTCATTTGTGCCATGTAATCAAATGAATAGCTGAATACTTGAAACTTTAATTTTAAATGTAGTTATGATTTGTAGAAACAGTAGACTTAAAAGTGGACCAAAGAGTATGCAAAATGAGCAAACTGGCATATACTTCAACTCCCATTTATAAAGAAAAACTGCAATTTTCAGGTTTCAGTCTTGGAGAAAAGACTTCATCATCTTATATGTGATGCGGTTTTCTGGACTGCTGACATCTTCATCAAATTTGAGTGAAATTTCCTTTTCTTGAAAATGAATTGGCATTTTCTTGCTCTCCACACGCATGAGCTTCACTGCCAGTGGGCCCAAATCCACGTGTTCCTATAGGTGAAGAGACAAGAGGAGGAAAGGTTATCTGGCAAGTCAACCATAATGGATTAGGCTTATTGTGTTTGACCTTTGTCTGACAGATTTCATTGCCCCCTTGATTGTCTGTATGCTATGGAACACATAAAATGTAAGTTTTTTTTTTTAAACCACACCTCAAAAGATTGTATACCCAGTGGAGCATAGTAGGAAAGTTCTTCCAAAGAGCAGGCAGTAGGTCCTCTGGAAGCTCGTTTTTGTTCATACAAAGGGTTGAACCTAAGACCTTGTTCATGGTAGGCAAATGTTTTATCACTGAGCTACATTCTTAGCCCCCTTGTAAGAACTTTAATTGGTAGAAGAATGCTAACTATATACACACAGGCTGTCTATTGGTTAGGAGATAACCACAACAAAATTTTCTTTATTATTCAAGAACAAGGGGAAAGAATCTGAAAATTCCATTTTGACGATGAATAATATCGAGCAATTTTTCCTGAATATTTTTTCTTTTCACAGGATTCTTGGATATTACATAAATAAATTTACTACGTTCTGCCAGACTATGGTGTAAGATGTCAACAAACAGCTAGTTTATGTAAAATCCTACAGCCAACCCAAAATGGATTGAAGCAGCTCCGGCCCTTACATAGCATTCTCTCCTTTGGGAAGCCTCTCAAGCTACAGCCTTCACATTTGAACAGCACTTCAGCAAATTTTCCCTGAGTGCCTGTTATGTGACTGGCATCGTATCAAGTGCTGGGTTGGAATGCAGAGCACACAGACTTGTCAGAGAGACATACAGATGCCTTGGCATGTTGTGGGAATTATTAATATTTATTTGAATTTAGGAAAATCAAAGAATGAAAAAAGGAGGCACTGTTTTATTTCTTAAAATGCTTATAATTGTATTTAGTTTTTAAAATGTATAATTATAGAGCTGTGATAAATGTAAGACAGGAGAAAAAGGAAACTGATAGAGGTCTACCACGTTGTACACTATGGACTTGACAGTTTCACATCAAAAACTCAGAAAGCAAGAATGCCTTTTAGTAAACTCAATGGTGTACGGTTTGGGAATTTTGTATACAAATGTCCACTAGTCTGAGGTTATTAAGACCTCAGATATGTATGTGGATGTTTCAATAGCAAAGAGACTAGAATTTTATTGCTATTATTTTTACAGTGCTAGGAATCAAATTTTAAACCTCACACATGCTTGACAAGTGCTCTGCCACTGTGCCACATCTTCAGCCCCCAAATTTTAGTCTTTAAATGGTCACTTGATAGTAGAATTGTACTTGGTAAATGGTAGTTTATTCAGATTCTTCTGTTTTATATCCATCCTTCTCCCCCAGATGTAAAGTTGTATGTGAACTTTTAAAGTTCTGAGTAAGATGAAGAAAGAAAAAAATCAAGGATTCATGGGGGAGTGTGAAGTTACCAAAAGAGATTTAAAAGTCAAAGGCTTGATACTCTAGATTTGGATTTATGGTACTATATGTGCAATTTGTACTTTCAAAAAACTGGCCTGATACATATCCCACATACTCTTCTTAAATGTAATATTGACTGTCCTCCATGAAGATGCAGGAGTTATATTTCTTTTCATTAGTTGGAACTTGGAACTACATCAACCAATAGAATATGAGGGAAGCGATGATATCTGATTTCCAAGGTTGCTGTTCCAAACACTGACACTTTTATCTTGCCTGCTCTGGGAAGGACCAGGCACCATAACAAAGGGACACTCAAGTCACTCTTTGGAGAGGCCCATATGCAGAGAAACGGAGGTTCCAGTTTAGCCAGTATCATCTTGTGAATCACGTTGTGAGTCCACCCTGGAAGTGGATCCTCCTGCTCCCATTCAAACCTTCATATGAGGGTAACTCTACCCAACAAATGAGTGCAGCTGCCTGCAGACAAAGTGAGAATTGTCCAGCAGAGCCCTCCCTAAATTCCTAACCAACAGAATTTCTGAAGGTAAAGGTCTAAGCCACTAGGTTTGGGGATAGTTTATTATATAGTGTTAGATCACTTACATTGTATATTAATAGTGGAGATTCATAAAAGAATGTATGTAGCTAAATGTAGGGGTGAAAACTATCCAATGAAAGAGGAATGGTGGGTTTGTTTTATTAATAAATGCAAATAGAAGCTTTCAATGTCCCTATTTTAAGCGAATTTTTAGAAGTGTTCTCTTAGTAGTCAAAGTTGTGGTCTCATGAATCTTACCTTGAAATCCCCTTCATCTTCATACAGTAAATATTTCATATGAGAATCCCTAAACTTTGTACATGAGCTCTCCACTTCATTTGTCTTCAGGTGGTGGATGGTTCTGCCACTGTCTTCAAGGGTAAGCTGGACGGAAGTACTCTCACGTGATGAGTTCAATGTGTCTCTGCGTTCTCCTAAGGGTGGCAATTTTAACTTCTCTTCTGATGAATGAAAGAAATTATTTCTGTATATACTTGAAACAGGTGAAAAATAAAATGCAACACATCTTTTGCTACACTTTTAATTTCAAAGAGCTCACAGCATTAGAAATATAGAATTTATGGATTGATGTAAGAGGTACCCTTATTTTAAGAAACTTTAAATAATATTTTCTTCTGTCCCCTAGTAATTCATAGTAATCACTTGGATCTATATGTTTTGATATTTTGGTTGACTCATTGTGGTCTCAAATTATATTACTATAGGAAACACTCTGTCCCTCCTCACTGCCATCTATTTAATTCATTGTGAAACAAAGTGAGTTTGATTAGAAAATGAGACTACAGAGAAGAAAATGATTAGGCCAGTCATCACAAGAAATCATCACAAGAAAAGTCATCACAAGAAAAGAAGCCTATAGAAGATGATATGTATTTATTCCTGAATAGCATTTGCAGGTGGGGCACCTGCCCACCACAAATAATAGCTCTTTATTAAACTGAGGAAAAAATACACCAACACCATTGCAATAAAACATACCTATATAACTTTCAGCCAATTCCAAAGGCACTTCTTCAGGTGGTATTTCCTGTCCAGCAGCTTGCCTAAGATATAGGTGCCTAAAAGAACAAATAAGCAAAACAGTCTGCCAGTGAACAAATACTGTATTATGTGCTTACTAATGTCAATTTCTTCCCTGGATTTTAGAAATCTATAGAAAAAAGAAAATTAAGACATGGTTTCTACCCTTGAGCATACAGCCCAGTGGAGTGGCAGGCATACGATAGTATTTTACAGCAATTGTTTGTATCACACCGGGTAACATGCAGCATAGTGTGAGAATGCTGGGAATAGAAAGAAGCAGGACTGAATTAGCTTGAGGAGATCGAGAGGTTTCCTGAAGGGCATGGATCCCGAATTGAGTCTAATAATCAGGAAATGATCACCAAGGAAAATCTTGGAGTAAGGGAAGAATATTGCTAAATAAGAAAATAACACATTTAAAGTCCCAGAAGTAAGTGTGAGCATGACTTCAATTAGATTGCTTCTTCTGTAATTCAGGTGAAGATTGACAACACCCAGAATGGGATGGATTTGACATGAAAAGAAAGAGTGGTAGGAACCCAAGGTGTCATCTGGGTGCCGACTTTGACTGAATGACATGTTTTACTACAAGTATCTCTACTATTTATTGATCACTGTGATGTCAGGCAAGTCAAGTAGCCTTGTTGAGCTTATTTCCTTATTTGAAAAACTGAATAGTGGCCACCACTCCATGATTAAGTGGCTTGTAAATTATGTGCTTATAAAATGGTAGCTAATATAGTACCTACTCTTTGACCCCTGGTCTTAGGACAAGAGTGACACATTTCAACCTCAAACTCAGTAAGTTAATATTGCGTGCTTCTGTGGCTCTCTGTACCTGTATTTAATTCTGCGCTCTCCTCTTTATAATACCCACTGAATTTTAAAAAAGGAAACATATTTTGAAAGCTCTGAATGGCATTACCATTTGATTTTCCTGAAAAGAGCATGAAGCAATTGGACCTTTGGAGATGTGCTAAGCCAATTAGCAGTCCAAGCAAATCCCCTGAATTGGGGACCGTCAGTTATTTAAAGAACATGAATAAAGGGTTATCTAGATACTTATGACTAGCAACTATTGCAATTGCATGTAATATTTATGTAGAGCTTTTTTTATTAGTACATGCTTATTGTATACAATTACATTCATTGTGGGGAGTTTGTTCACATGTATAACAGATATTCTTTGTTTTAATCCCCTTCTCTGTCCTTCCCTCCCTCGCCCGTTCCTTTATCTTTTGGTTCCCTTCCTATTTCCAAAAGTTCTCTCTTTCTGTTTCCTATTAGATATCTTTCATTCTGTTCTTTGATTTATTTATACTTTGGGTTTCTCATATATGAGAAATCATATAATATTTAACACATTCATGATGGGGCCATAATTCATATGCCAGGTGGCTTGAACCACAGGTGGTACATGCATGAGTATTTCATCACATGGATTTTTATTAATTTAATTACTAAAAAGATACATAAAATGGATTAGATCCACTTGTACCACCAGTGGTATAAGCTGCCTGGCAGGCGTGCACCACTGGTAATTGAAGTGGGCAGGAACTTGTTGAATTTGCATCTATTTCACCTGTCATTAATGTCTCAGAGTGTATCCATTTTTGTATAAATATCTCAAGTATACCCTACTTTGTGAGAGAGGTGTCTAAATACCACATTTTTATCCATTCACATGTTGATGGACATACTATAGGGTGCTTCCAAGATTTAGCTATTATGAGTTGTGCTAAATCTTTCCATTTTTGGATATTCTCTTCCATCTTCTTTTTCAGATTACTATGGTTTTTGTTGAAGAGGTCTTTTTCTTCCTTGCTATGATATATTTCTAAGAACTTAATTTTTCTCAATGCTATTAAGAATGGTATTTTTTTGTAATTTCTTTCTCAATGAGTTCATTATTGGTGTACAGGAACACTACTGATTTTTGTTGTTGTTGTTGTTTGTTTTTTGAGATAGGGTTTCACCATGCCTTTCAGGCTAGTTGTGAACTCACTTTGTAGCCCAGGCTGGCCTTGAACTCACAGACATCCTCCTGCTTCAGACTCCCAAGAGCTGGGATTACAGGTGTGCACTATTATACTCACCCTAATTTTTATATGTTGATTTTGTATCCCATGTAAAACTTTTGAAAGATAATTCATTAAACTTGTTTTATGTATAGCTCTATTACTCTGTAGGTAGACATGTCTGGGGTTATAGAATTATTTTCTGGTGTTATCATTTTGAATAATTAAGATCTTACCAAATGTCTTAGTCTTTATATATCTAGGTTTCTCTCTTAATAAGTTTATTGTCATTTCTGTACCTCTATAGGGCAACAACATATTTAGTAATATGGAAAAGTATTTTAAAAGATATTAGTGTTAGATTTGTAGGTATGCGCCCACTTCATCTCCCACTAGAACTCCAAGGTCGTCTCCTCTGGTTGACACTTGCCTCGCCTATTTTCACCAGTGCGTCAGCAAAATGCTACGATGTTATACTTGAGTTTTAATGGAAAAAATCTTGTGTCATGGGAAATGTACAACTCTTATTAATCAGAATGAAAACAAGAACTGTTTCTATGCTTCTGGGAACAGTTCATATCTATTTTTCATGACTCTGCCAGTACTAGTAGAGTACTGTATTCTCAACAAATGTTGGAAAGGTCAGTTACTATAACATATACAAGGCATGCTATGTTTCTTTGACTTAAAAGCTGTTACATTAGAAGCTACCAAATACTCTCAGGTTAACTTGGTAAAGAACTCTTAATGGCTAACTGAGAGTTTACACATTTCCCTGTTTCTTTATGGGTATCTTTCTAAAATAGCTTAAACAGTTGCTTCAAGGAGTTGAGGAGTCAAACAAGGAAGCAGACATGAAGTAATCAAAAGAATGATAAAACTGATTACCATGAAAAAGTGCAGTTTTATGAAAGTATATACCAGGGACACCTAACTCAGTTCTTAAAAATCTCACTCATAGAAACAGAGGAATAGGAGAGGGAGGAGAGAGGGAGGAGAATGAAAAGAATTACATGCAGGTACCCTCTAAGATGGATGTAAACACTATGTACAAAAACGTACTAATAAAAAATAGGAAAATATTTTTATTTTATTTCTTCCAACTCTGATGAACTAAGAACTCCATGCCTCTCACTAAGGAAACCAGTCACTAAAGCACTGATGAACAGTGTGGATTTTACTGAGAAATGTGGGAAGGACAGAGGGAATTAGCTGCGTACTATACAGCAAACAACTTAACAAAAATTCTTATTAAAACTTTCCCATCTGAAATGAGGATGTAGCCCAGTGGGCAGCATGTTTGTATTGTATATTTGAGGCCCTAGGTTTGATGCCAGCTGCGAAAAAAAAATTATAGCTTCCTTCCTGATCTTTAGGTTAATGGAAGAATTCCTTTTGTTATAGTTATTGGCACTTCATATCCATGTCAGCATCAACTCAGATACCTCAGACTGAGCTGACTGAAGTAGAGAAGTACAGCCAGCAGGTTAGAAGGTAGCTTCTTATTAAGATTTAGCCAGCTTAGAAAATGAGGATAGCAACAGCTGGCAGAGATTGGACATGATGCACAGAAGGCAATGGCAGTAAATGACAAGATGAGAGGCAGGACAAGAATGTCAGACCTTATCTAAGAGAGGAGGGCTGGCAAGCCAGCCTCCCCTGCACAGGCCTCCAGGGCATCAGGCCAAGAGACCAGACACACAGGCGCCAAGTAATCTATCAACTCATTCAGTTGCACCTCCTATACTGCTATCTACTTTTTCCTAGTGCCTACAATTTGTGGGAGATAGGTGGCCCCTTTCTCTATCCTGTCCTGTCTAGCTTTTAGACTGTAAAGTAATTACACTATCTACCAGTTTCTCTAGTCTTGTATCCAACTCCCATCACTTAGCCTAGCAAACAAGAAACCTACAACTTAACTGCATTTATCCTTCTTGGAACACATTAAGAAGTTTGTAAAAAAAATTGTCCAGATGTGGTGGTACACACCTATAATGTGAGCAACTCAGAAGCTGAGGCAGGAGGACTGACATGAGTCTGAGGCCAACCTGGGCTATGTAGCAAGCTCAGGATAAGCTTGAACTACAGAGTGAAACTTTGTCTTTAAAAGAAAAAATGACTGTAAGAAATAAATGCCTTACCATGTCTCAAGTGGTATTTGTCTATGTCAAACAAGCAACATGAACTGTTTTGTTGGAATATTTTACTGGCTTTTCTACCATAATCAATTGAATATCTAATTTAGTTCTTAGATCTAGACACTTATCACCTATACTTGCATATTTACACACTGTATTTCCCCTTTCTTCTTAAGTGTACTATGTTTTAGATTATTTCATATTTTTTGACTACATATCCAAATTATGAATGTCACTTTGAATTCCATATTTCAGGGTCCTAGTTTTCCCATTAAGTATATATATATATATATATATATATATATATATATATATATATATATGGGGGGATTCAGGCAAAATAATAATAACCTAAAATACAAAGCTATGTATACATTTGACTTCTCTTGTGCAGGAACAAATGTAACATGGAATCCCAGGCTATTTTTTCCATCTACAAAACAGTTTGACTATTTCAGAAGAAATAATTCCATATTCACAAGGTAACTAAAAGTCCAGAACACCTCAAAGAAACTTCCAAAAAGTTGATCATCCCCTTCCTTGTGCTAACTCTGTGCTTGCTCATCTGTTGCACTGATACGCCTTTAATTCATAACATTTTTCTTGTGAGTCTGGAGGCTCCTGAAGGTTGGAAGTTGTGATGTTCATGTTAAACATTTTGTATTGGGACTACAGTGCAATGGAAAATAAAAAGTGAAAGTTCATTCTGTACTTGTGATCAATAGTAATAATCTTTTATCTTCATCATGGTCACTTGTGAGTTCTTCATGTTCTTCACTCTGAGCATGTACCCAGTCCATTTCTTAAGTTTCATTTGAGACAGGGTCTCCTTAATTGCTAAATTCTCAGGCTAGGATTAAACTTGTGATTATCCTGCCTCAACTCCCTAGAGTGTTGGGATTGCAGGTGTGAGCCACCATGTCTAGCCTTTTACTTTTGACAATTTTATTCTGACTGGAGCAGTGAAGAAATAAACCACCATTTTAAAAAACTCTATAACTACAAATATTTATAAAACACTTTCTAGAAAATATTAATGACTTTCACCTGGGTATTTTGAGATCCACAAGTCTACAGTTGAATAGCTGATCAATAAGCACCAAATTTTCTTCTTCCAGTTCATGAATAGTATTTTCTAATTTTTCAACTTCCTTCCTGTGAATTTCAATCTGTTCTCAAGAAAATAAAAAAGAGAATGGATATTGCTACTATTTGATTTAGTTCTATAAAATCTATAGCAAATTCAACTCCTGCAAGTGCATTTGCCTGAGGAAAAGATCTATAATGTATTTATTATTATGTTAGCTTTGTCTTTCCTGGCAATTTATCAGAATTTGTTTCATGGTAAGGCAGTTGCAATAGGAGAGTAGAAGCTGTCCTCCTATGCTTCAAAAACTCTCATAAACTTATATGTGAATCAGAGGAAGAAATAAGAAAACAAAGCTAATAAATTTACCAACATGATATACTGGTAGCTGAGGGTAATTACAAACAATATAATAAAAAAATCTAACATTTGGATAATGCTATAGTATAGTATTTTTTAAAATAGAGGTATATAGAATTTTCATTTGCCGGACTTCCGAAAGAACATGGCAGATAGATAGCAGCAGCTATGGAGGCTCTCTGAGATACCCCGCTTAGAATCCAGGAATGCTGTAGTACGAGGAATTCTAAGCAAGGGGAAATACACCCTGCTGACCCAGGAATGAACTAAGCTAAGCGAAACCAACTGGAAATCCAATCATGGTGCTATAACAGGAACAGATAAAATCTCAGCTTGGAAGCTAGAACCTGCACCACTGGAAGCCGCGATCTGAATTTCCTGCTGCTGCCGCTGCATCCAAATCTGCAGGGCAGGTAGAGAGTTGCACGAAAGTTCTGAGAGTGGGAATCTTCGAATGGAGTTGAGAGCAGGACTAGCAGGGAGCCCTACATCAACTTGCAGTGAGTGAGGAGAATGGGGACCCTTTCATAGAGTAGGAAGTTCCAGCAAAGGACATACTGGGACCAGGCAGACTTGCCAGAACAGGGCGCTGCAGTGACTTCAGTCACATATTCCCCTCTCAAGTGGGATTGGTGGGGAGAGCCTGGCCTGCGTGATGCCACTGACTTAGACCCAGTAGGTGAGTCCAACATAGGTCCCAGCGCCTGGAGGTGCACCCTAGTGGTGAAACCTTCCATAGGTTGACCTGGAGGGGTGGGCCCAACAGAGGCTGCCCAGGTCTGTGGCTCTCTACTACACTGCAGTGGGTGGGAACACCTAGCTGGCGCAATTCAAACAAACTATAACCAAAAACAGAGAAAAAAATTGGGCCTCCTACATTCGTTTGTATAGAAGGAACAAAAAGCATGGGAAGAGGAAGGAACAAGAAAGAGTCTTCAATCCCCAATCCTGAGAACACTGATCCAGAAAAGGGAAATGCAAAGGAAGACAGAAAACATGCAATATCCGACACAGCACCAACAGACATAAAGTGGTATCTCCAGAGCCTCATAGACGAGTTTAAAAATGAAGTATTTAATGAAATAAAGCAAGAGATAAGTAGAAATAGTTAGAGAAATGCTAAGCACTGCCCAAGAAAAAACAGATGGTGGAATGGAAGAACAGAAAAAAAGGGGAGAAAACATAGAATGTTTGGATGGAGAAAACATAGAATATGTGAAGCAGGTTCAAAGAGATTACCAGGAAACTAAAAACTCTATTGAAAGCTGGCATAACAGCTTGAAAGAAACTAAGGATAGATTTTCTGAACTGGAGGACAGATTTGTAATGTGGGAGCATGAAATGAAAAACTTCTTAAAAATAACAAGAAAACAAACAGCAATAATACAAAGGCTTGAAGATGATAAGAGGATCTACAACCTAAGAATTAAGAACATAAAAGAAGAAGTAGGGACACAAACAAATGGACTACAAAAGCTATTCACAGAAATAATCCAGGAGAATTTCCCTAATTTAGCAAAAGGTAAAGATACTCAGATGTATGAGGCATACAGGACCCCAGCCACCTACAACCCAAACAGAGCTACACCCAGGCATATAATAATCAAAATTCCAGAAATCCAATATAAGAACAGAATATTAAAAGCTGTCAGAGACAAGAAACAGATCACTTACAAGGGAACACCCATCAGAATTATAGCAGACTTCTCGGCACAAACCATCAAATCACAAAGAGTGCGGGGGGAAATAATTCAAGCTTTGAAAGATAACAACCTCCAGCCAAGATTGATATATCCTGCACAACTGTCCACAAAATTGATGGAAAAACAAGGTGCTTTCAGGATAAAGAGGAACTAGGGGAATTTGCAACCACCAATTCAACTCTACAGAGAATACTGCAGGATATTCTAAAAAAGGAAAATACCAAGACTTCAGAAACAGTGGCAAAGAGGCCACAATGAATGGAGCAGAAAGAGAAATGAAGAAGACAAACTGACAACAAACGACAGAAAAAGAGCTCAACAGAAGTGAGGCAGAGAAGATTGGATGGTAGGAACAGCTATTTTGGAGAAAACAAGACATCATAATAGCTAGTGCTGATTTAGTATCATTTTGCTTTGAAGTCCCATCAAGCTTTTATTCTTCTGTCTCCATTGGTCTTAACAGTTTGTATCTTATTGGATTTTATTATATGTGATAATATAAGCAAAACTTTTATAGACAAGGAGATTATACAGAAACCGTTGTTCATTTTCTGATAGTTGGTTCTAAATACCCTGTAATACTGTCATTCTCTTGGATGGTTTTACATTGTCTTGATATGTTTGGTGCTACAGTATACGAAGTTATACTCAAAGACTTCAAGGAGAGAGACATTATGGTAACTAATTTTATGTCGGGATGTCTTGTGGTGAAACACTATTTTGCTTAAATGGTTAGGCTTTGACCTACACTGTTTTGTTGTTATGCCCTCTTTTATCTCAGTCTCCTTTTTTTATTATTTACTTTTTTATTTTTTTCTTTTTAATTAAGGGAGAAATAAAAAAGCAGGATATATTATTATCGTAACCCACTTTGATTTCCTATTAACTTGATCTGAAACCCTGTATAGCCCTCACCATCTTGCTTTGACTGATTTTCCTCTATTCTGCTTTGCTTGACAGTACGAAGTTTGAAAGTATAGGCAACAACTGGAAAGACAATAAGATTCATTATGACTCCCATTCCGATTGACTATTATCTTCTTTTAAAGCCCTGTAATGTCTCCAATGTTTTGGTTTTATTCTTTACTGTTTTGTTCAATTTTATTATAACTGATGATATAGGCAATTCTTTTTAAGATAGCAAGAGGCAGTATGATAACCATTGTTAATCACCTAGTATTTTGTTTTTACATTATCTATTATGTTCATCCTTTTGATTTGACTGACTCTGTTCTGTTATGTCACATTTGGTTTTACTCTCTTCAAAAAAAAGTAATAAGAACTGTGGGAGTAATAAAACCCAAAATGTGTAATTGTCATTGTACAAAAGAGAGGAAAAGAAAGTGCTCTAAAGAATATTACCGCACGTATATTTAAGTGTATAAGATAGAGAACCATATTACCGAGTTTTGTTGGATCATTGAAGAAAACTGTTTCCAGTCTCACTGTTTGAAAGTCCACTTTATATGCTTTAATTTTGTAACTTGAACAACTATTTCTTACATAACAATATGTAATCTATTAACTAGTGATTTCCTATTGTTTATTTTTTCTGAAATTCTGTATAACTTGTACCCTATTTCTGCTTTTTTTCTTTTTCTCCTTAATAAAAAAAGAATTTTCATTTGCCTTTATAATACAATTTTGTTCTGAGTGATAATGTAGTTTGAGAAATGTCAGCTAGATGAAAGATTATTTATTCATTTAATTGTATGCTTACTGTATGCTAGAAACTGTATCACACTTCGGAAAAAAATGAACAAGATACTAACCTAGGACAGCGATGATGAACCTTTTAGAACTTTCCATATTACAAACATCCCACTGCATCACAGAAACCATGAATTTGCTACCACTGATCTAGGACCTCTTAGCCTGGTATGAAAATGGTGATGAAAATGGAAAATGGTCTGATAAAAACCATGTTGGAAGCTTTTCAGCTGCTGTGGGAGGAGACATCTGATATCTGTCAGATGTCAGAATAAAGCAGCGAATGGAAGAAATAGCACCACATTTGAATCTTGAAAGACAAGTAATGATTCCCGAGGCAGAAACAAGAAAGTCCCTTTTGCATGGAACCACATGTCTAAAATCACAATTATTTTGATGTGGACACAAAGTACAAGTGGGGGGAAATAGGAGAGAAACAATTAGGGAAGGGATAAATTCTAAAGGACCTCATTTTTAAATAATGATAGGTCATTGCTAGATATAGGACACTTAGTGTTTACTGAATAAATATGACCAACACAACATGAACAAAACCTACTTATGTTGATGACAGTTCTCATCAGTTCCTGCGAAGTACATTTTGGTAACTTGTTTAAAGTAGGCTTGACAGTGGAAGGGATATATGGAAGACTCTTAAAATAGAACTCCCAACTCACATTTTTGCCAGGCCAGAAAGTGATCATGGGGTGAGAGCAAGATGATGTAAAAATTAGAACTAACAGTACAAAATGGAAGGCAATAGAGCCAGATGTGGTGGCACACACCACTACTCCCAGCACTTGGGAAGCAGAGGCTGAAACATCTCTGTGAGTTCGAGGTCTGTTTGGGCCACATAGTGACTTCAAATCCAGCCTGGACAACGTAGCAAGATCCTGTCTCCAAAAAGACTCCTTCCCCCCAGAAAAGAAAGTAATAGGCTGGTGAAAAAAATAGACAAACAGGAGGAAGTAATGAATTTTGAAGGAATGAAGTAAATTTTAAAAGTTACAGGGGTTTAGATTCAATATACCTTGTCAGGAGATGCCACAAATGCAACTGAGATGAATATTTAAGAAACAACTAACATTTTCTGCTTTGTTACTGAAGTAGCTGTATTTTGGAATCTTGAAGTGTTTGGTATATTACTGTATGCATATCTCTATCACATAAGTCATTAATTAAAAGTATGAATTCTTTTTTGCTTTGTTTTGCTTTTTGAGAGAGAATCTTGCTATGTGGTCCAGGATGGTCTTGAACTTGCTCAAGCCGACCCTGAACTCACAATCCTCTTGCCCTAGCCTCCTAGAGT